ATTCATTTATATATTATTACAGTGGGAGGAAGGAAAGGATAACTGAATGGGGTGTAAAACTTGTGCAAACTTTCAATCAAATGCATAATTATGCATTTTGGATTTTTTTTTTTTATTTTCAATAAAATGTGAAATTTTTACGAATTCTTAATTGGCCTAAAATTGTTAAAATTGAAAGTGAAATTTTCAATATTTATATGTTGCTTGTTAAAAATGAGACAGTCTAAATTATCAATTGGCAATCATAAACTAGTATTATTGATTGATAATTTGATAGTACGAATCGTTTATCATGCAATTATTTTCATTAATAATCGATATGATACATTTGATGATCCGAGAGTCTCGATCAGAGATTTATCACATATCATACATTTGGTGTGACAGCAGGAGAAGTGAATAGATTTATTTTAAAAACAAATAAATATTTTTATTGCACCACTACAGCATGCAACACAACATATATATGTATACACAAAACATTACACAATTTGCTGATATAAATATTAGCAATTACAATGTACTAAACATAACAACCGGATGAAGCTAAAAACGTGGACATATAAAAGAGAAAAAAAACGGAACAACAATACGACATTCAACAATCACAACATCAGGAACAAGCATAACAAAAACCAGAAATGGGAATTACGATATTCATGTAGAGAAGATTCGAACTATCCATCATAATAAGTTAAATTGAATGGCTGTATTTCAGTAAGGTATCCATTAACGAATCGTACTTTTGAAAACGAAAAAATCACTCCCATTTGATTATAACTCATACAATGACAGGTATCCATTATCTGACTTCATGAGTGATTTAATCCATTGAAAAAATTTTAGTCTAAACAGGAAAGTTTAATTCTGCAAATCAGAATGCTCAAAAATTGTTCAGAAATTCAGGAAATAAAATTTCAAATCAATTTTACGGGAAAATCATTCATTCGTCTGATTATTACACTATTAATAGAGATAATTTGCAAGCAGATAGTATCTAGATAAATTAAAGAACCCAAATCTCTGTCCTAGATAAACAGTTTAAAAGAAGTTCAGGTCTTTCTATTTATTCTACTGATTTTTAAGACTGATCATCCACGCTACAAAAAAATCTTAATTAAAGACTTAAAGACTAGAAATGTTTATTGGAAATATCTCACATCTTAGTAATGATTAAATGATTCAAACTCAAAGTCACAATGATTGTGAGACTCAAAAATATACAGAGATAATAGATGGAGGTAGTTTAAAAGAGATTTTTACAAATTAAATAGAATACGATTTATAATAACTCTCAAACAACCTAACAAATTTAGTTTTCTAAAAATGAATCATTGTATCACAAAACAAATTTCCACCCAAAAAGAATAAGTCGACCATGTATCTTTATTGCACCTAAAAATTAGGAAATTGACAATTCTACGTGAACAAAAAGGAATACGTGAATACGTGAATGACTGAAATCTGATTCTACGTAAAATTCCTACGCATAATGTATGAATTGTATGAATCATATAAAAGAAATTCTTTGCAAAATTTGTTTTTTTATTTTACAATTTTTACAATAGTATGAAAGAGGAGTATAATAGGAATAAAGTTTCTTGAATTTTTAGTAAATCCATAAGTTACACACTTGTTAGTCTCATGTACCACTTATGGAATAACATTACATATATATTACTTAGAATCATTTAATAATATGCAACTTAAATTTTATAAATTATTATTTATAGAGTAAATAATGAATAGAGTAAGTTTGTGATCATTTAGGTTCGCTAAAATGTCATAAAATGATAACGCTATTAGAATGATAATGCAGTGATAAGTTAAATAACTAAAATGAAACATTGTGATACGATAAATAGGATGGTAACGTCGTCATAAAATAAATAATTAAAACGATAATGTTGTAATGAGCTAAATAATTAAAATGATAGCGTCGTGATAAGCTAAATAATTAAAATGATAATGAACGTTATGATAAGCTAAATAATTAAAACGATAATGTTGTAATAAGTTAAATAATTAAAATGATAACGTTGTGATAAGCTAAATAACTATAATGATAACGCTGTGATAAGCTAAATAATTAAAATGATAACGTTGTGATAAGAAACTAAAATGATAAAACTGCGATAAACTAATAACTTGCTAACCTGAAATCAAAACAACACACAAATGAAGAATGACTCTGAATGTACGAATTTTTATCCATCAATAAATTTCATCAAATTCGATACCACACAATGCAAACAATGAGAAGCAATGGTTTATTTACAGGTGGGAAATTGCTTAAAAGATTGATTTATGTAATTTAATCTTAAATAATCGAAAGATGAAAGTATGTTTAGAAGAGATGATAACCGGAAAATATAAACAGGAAAATTGTGAAAGAACCAGAAATATGCAGAAAACAACAAATTTAATTTACAATATTTTTTTTTCAAGGAAGTGCTACCTGAAATAATTGTATAAAATGTAAACTGTCAACTAATAAACTAACTCATTCAATTCATTTCATAAAATAAGAAAATTTGTATAAATTACTAATAGAATGGGTTAAATTGTTAGTTAAATTAATTAGCTAATAAGTTAAATTAGCTAATGATTACAAAGTTATTATGCGTTAATCGGAAAAGAATATTTGATAAAAAATAGAAATTTGATTGTAATAATAATTTCAATAACGGATCTGTTAATTATACATAAGAAAGTATGATAACTTATTGTTTAGCCAATCGATTCGTCAATTTTTTATTGCTCATTCATAATTTAGCATTAAAATTATCACTAAATCATCTAATCTGTAAATTACATTTAAAAAGTTATAAAAATTAATTCTAAAATTAATTCATTCAATGCAAAAAGCAAAACATTTGTTTCCTTATCTATAATATATAATCTTATCAATGTTACATCGTTCCAATTCAATTTTTCATGTTTAAAACAATTTTCATTCAAATATTGATTGATTATTTTATTGATCTAAGTAATATCTAAATGAGTACTTATCTGTTAAGTATAATCAAATAAGTTTTGTGATAATTTGTTGCTAATTATATCTTCCAGTTAAATCTATATCAAAATCAATGTTATTTTTCAGCTTTTTTTTTTTAGTCATAATAATTTCTTATTAATGTTGTGGAAATATTTGTTGAGAAAATATTATTGGTATTTTAATCCTAAATTATTAATATTTTAATTTATATAAAATTATTATCGCCAAATATTTCATTGCTAGAAAACTAAAATCATGTCATTTATATTAATTAATTAATTAATTAGCTAAAAAATAAATTTATTGTTTATTTTTATTGTTTATATCGAAAGAATATTTTTGATTTTTATCCAATGAAGAATTATTGATTAAAAGAAAAAAAATTTTACTAATATTTAATATTCATTATGTTCAATCTTAATATTAAATTATAATTAAGTTATCATTAAAAGTAAAAAGATTAAGTAATGCGAAATGAAAAAAAAACATTTGAAAATTAAAAAATATTTTAAAAGACTAAATCGAAGATTTTATTTTTCTTGAGACAACTTGAATAATAATAAATTGAAGTATAAAACATAAAATTTAGTGTAATTTTGAAATTCAATCATTTTACTTTTAGTTTTTTAAAAGTTAAATAATTGAATTTTTCTTATCTTTTAAATTATTCGTTATCTTCCTTTTCCTCCTTCTCATCATTTTGAAAAATTTATCTACTTTCTATTTTTTCTCTTTTTTTTTATTTCTTATATCTTTTCTTATACAACAGATGGTTTATTGCCATGCCACATACCAATTTGATGTCAATTCATTGTTAAATTATTTGATACCTTATGTTGCTACCTCTACTACCTTTTATTAACTTCCTCATTTATTCAACAATTTTAATTAAAATCTATTCATGTAAGAAATTGATCATTTTAAATGAATATTTGGCAAATAATTTATTGACGGTATTAGAAGATGATAACACATTCTTCATCGGTGCAAAGTATGTTAATTTCATTACTTAATAAATTATTAATTATTTTAATAAGTTAAAAGATGAAATTGATTATGTTTATTTAGATAATTGAGTCTATTAGTACACTAAATTTTGCTAATAAATATTATTTGCTATTATCATCGAAATTTAAAATTTCTCTCCAATCTATTAATTCAATTTTAAATGATAATTGCCATTAGCATAGGCCATTTTTGACATTTGTATTTTAATTTTAAGCAAACAGTTATTTTTATTTTAAAATTTGAGAAAAAAATAATAAAAATTTGCACCAACCATATTAAAAAGTATTTTGTGATATTTTTTTTTTTATTTTGTAATAATCACTCCATTTAATTTCTTAATTGAAATGCTATAGTGAAATGGCGGAAAAGGAATGATAAAAAGAAGGTAGAAGAAATTAAATTAATTATTACTAAACATAAAATTTAATTATTGTCAAGCATTCCAACAAAGATATCAAAATGATATCTTTCATTTATTTATCAAAAATCAAAAAGACGAATGAAATAAAATTACTTCAAAATAGACTAAATAATTTTTAATTAATTTTTAAAAACCAAAAATTTAAAAAAATTTTTTTTTCGCTACGAAATATTTTTTATGCACATGCATGCATACTTGCATTTTGCAAGCTATTATTTTATCAATTGCTACAACAATTGTTTTCAAAAAAAAACATTCAACAGATCAATTAATTGTTTGCAATCAGTAATACTAATAATTGTGATAATTGATAATGAATAATTTAAGGCCAAATGAAATGATAATCGTTATGATAATTTTATTTAGAATTTTACAATATTTTTGATAAAATTTTTAAGAAGATAGAAATAAAGTAAGATTTATAGATTACACAATGATTAGATAATTGATAGCAATTAAAAAAAATGATAAATAAATTTCAGAAATCAAATTATAGCATTATCAGTTGAAAATTTTCGTTTGAAAACGATAGTACCATTAAATGTTACAACTATTGAAGCAGCAGAATGTTTAATGAAAGGATTTGACAAGGTTAATTCCGGTTTTGTCATCGTTTAATTAAAAGTAAACGTATACCATAAATTTTTTTTTTTAATCTTTTATCAGTTATTCTTGTTTATTACATTTAATTTATTTCATATAAAATAATTTTATCATAAATGAAATGAAAAATTTTCCATACAATGCATTGATGTGTAATTAAATAAATGTGAAAGTAAAAAGTAAAATTAAATGTTGCGCAAAATGTTCTCACTAATAGCGCCAAAAATATATTTTGAGGGAAAATGTCAAAATGATATAACATTATTATTACATTATGGTAATAATTGCTTATATATTTGTGGTACAAATGCGCTTTCACCACGTTGTCAAATAAGAAATGTTTGTTTATTTAATTCCTTATTAATTTATAATCAATAAAATTTTTTAAATAATTTTTTAAAAGATATAAGTTACAAAAAGAAAAAAAAAAGATGTATTATACTTAAGTATAACTTATTGTTTCATTTTTAATTTCCTAAAATTGATAAATTCTTTTCTTATTTAGGTATAAAATTATTTCAGAAGCGAAATTTATTCGAAGAATGCGCAACTAGCATAAATGCTATTGGCCTTAGTACATTCAATAAAGATTGTCCAGCTTATCACTTATCATATGATAATTATACATTTACAGCATTAGCTGTTGATATTTCATGTCAAAAGCAAACATTACTCCGTGCTCTTCCGCAACAACAAAAACTTTGGTTACCAGTTAATGATGATCGTTGGTTTCGTGGTACTAATTTTGTTATAATTAAATTAGTTCAGTTTAATTTAATATTTATTATAAGTTTAACTTAAATTTAAAGTTTAACTTAACGGAGAGAGGAAAGGAAAAAACAACAAAAACTTTGGTTACCAGTTAATGATGATCGTTGGTTTAATGGTACTAATTTTGTTATAATTTAATTACTTTAGTTTAATTTAATATTTATTATAAATTTAACTTAAATTTAAAGTTTAACTTAACGGAAAGAGGAAAAGAAAAAACGATGAAATTAGTTTCAAGTAACAAATGTTATGATTTTTTTCTGATTAAAATTTTTAATTAGCAAAATTGAATAGAAATTTAATGGTTTTAATTTTAATTCAAAAAAAAAAAATATTTTAATATTATCATTTCTTTTAGAGAATTCTTACAATCTTTTATTGGTTATTTGTTTTTAATCATTTGTATTTTTTTCTAAATTTTACAACTATTATTTCATTTTAGAGCCAACATTTATTGCATTATTTGGTTGGAAGCAATATGTATATATTGTTTTTAATGAAGCAAATAATGAAGGCATACAGGTAAGGTACTAAATTAAAATTGATTAATTTAAATATTACATTTTTGTTAAAACTTTAATAATTAATTAATTAATTAATTGGTGCAATGATAAATGACAAAAAGTTTTACGATTTATTCTAGTATTGATTATTGTTTGACATATTTATTGCAGGGTCGAATTGGTGCCATATGCGCAAATGACGCAGGTGTTGCAAATAGTACGGCGCCCTACAAAAATGCATTCAATTCATTTGGCAAACTTTCTCTAATATGTCCTTTAGACATGAATAATTTACAATTGAAAATATTGAAAACAGCGCAAATATCTGCTAATTTCATTTTTGCTATATTTTGGAATGGTTTTGAACGATTACCAATATCTGTTTTATGTGTATTCGATCTGAATAAAATCGAGAAACGATTATTCGATGATGATAGAATTTCGGAAACAGCATGGAAAATAAATGATAATCATTGTCCAGAAAGAAATCAATCCGGTTTTCCGAGAATTTTTGATAAAACAGTAATTGCAACAAATCCAAATGCATTGTACATTTTTCCGGAAATGATTGAGTACGTTGTTATTAATTTGCTTAGATTAAAATTACAACTGAATAATTTTAAAAAAAGACTTTTAATTGCTATCTTTTGAAGTTGTTACTTTTGATACTTTTGATGCTTATTTCTAGGTAAAATTAATATATGAAATAGAATTTATTAACATATAGCACACATATATGACATAATATTAATTAAAAAAAATAAATTTCAATAATAGAATTAAAAAAATAAATTTCAATAATAGAATTAATAAAAAAAAAAGAAATTAGAGGATAGTATCTGTAAATGTGGTTAATGCTAATAATGAAAATTATCAAATTATGGCAATATCTAAGAAAGCAAAAGTATATGGTTTTATTTTCAATGGTATTTCTATTAATAAACAATGGACTGAGCAAATTATTGTTAGTGGAAAAATATTGGAAATTAAAATTCGAAAAGAGGTCTAATTTCACTTTGAATATTGATTTCACGAACGCATAAAGTTCTAATAGCTTTTCAAATTTTTAAATTTGAATACTGATTCAAAAACATAAAATTTTTGAATTTTTGGTTCGAAAAAAAATTGAACTTTTATTTGAATTCAAAAAGCATTAAAGCAGCATTTTTTCATTAGCATTTTTTTTTTTAAATGGCTTTTATGCTAAATTTTCATAGTTTAAAAATAATTTTCAGTCTCGATTTACAGTACTCGCATCAAATTCTTTCAAAGAGTACAAAGTAAAAGATTGGTCTTCAGAAATTATCGAGAATATTAGCCAGAATACCGGGTATGTATTTAAGGAAGGGAAGAGAATGCTTACGGATTAAATATTTGTTTTTGCTTTAAAAAAATTCATTTTGATTTTGGAAACAAATTTTTAAAACACATTATTCGTGGACAAATTTTAGATAATAAATAATGATTAATTTATTTAAGACTTATCAACTGATAAAAAATTAAGGTAATCATAATGATACTTATAACCAAATAAGTAACTTATAATATTGAATTATAACTAAAATAAGTAAATTATGATACTGACTTATATCTAAAACAGGTAAATTATAATATTAATTAATAACTAAAAATAAGTAACTTATTATAGTAGTAACAAAAAAAAAAAGAAAAAATAAGAAAGCATTAATTTGATAAATATAATTTAAGACAGCAATGTAATTGTGAATGGACCGAATGGAGTATTTGTTCACAGAGATGCGCTGGAGGATATCGAAGTCGAGAATGGCGATGTTTACCTGGTGACACCTGTAATTCATCCAAAGAGAATCAACAACAATATGAATCATGTAACAATGTATCATGTAATGGTAATTATTTTATTTCTATTTTATTAAAATTATAACAATCATTATAAAAATTCACTATCATTATTAGAATCTACCAAATCAATAAAATCACCTCTGACTTTTTGTTTACTAATTTTGTTTATTAATCAATTAATTGTATAAGTAATAGTTCTACAAGATTACTAAAATTTTTCTACTAACTTCTGTTTATTAATTAAAAAACTTATCAATTAATTTTATGAATAGTAAATGTATAAAATCACCAGAATCTTTTTACTAACTTTTGTTTATTAATTAAAAAGACTTAGCAATAAATATTAAATTAATAGAATGCAAACAAAGATTTTTCGATATTTTCTTTTCAAAAACTTTTTTTTCTTTCTTTCTTTTTTTTTGCAGAAATTCGACGATATAGTGATTGGAGTCAATGGTTAGCATTAGATGGTAATAGTGAAATTCGATATCGTGCTAGTTGTGGTGTTGAAATACCTGATCCTATGTCAATTAAAGTAAGAATTATTCAGATATATTTATATTAAATTGTTTAAATTATTTCAAAAAAAAGGTTAAGAAATATAAAATGGTTTAAATAAATAAATGGTAAATAAATAATTAATGATTTTATACACTTAATTTGCTCATTTTTTTTTTTTATAAATTTATTATTAATTAATCATTTTTATTATTACGTTTAAGACTATACTTCATGGATCAAAACGTGTACTTACGTATCATGAATGGTTAGCATGGAATGAATGGACAGCATGCAGTGCAACTTGCGGTAATAGTTTACGGAGTCGTTGGCGTATCCGGAAAGGTCTTATTATATCATACAATGATGATAATATTCAGTATATTGTCGAGCCATGTTCTATACCATCATGTAAATTTGGTATGCATTTAATAGCTACAACACGTAGATCACGTGTTTTTAAGTCTGAAAATATAAGAATAGAGTAAAGTGGTAATATCGTAAACATAAGACATATAAATGGAGCATTTAATAGCTAAATGACTTTTTTTTTTGATTCAAACAAAGTAAATCGTAATTTATTTTAACAGATATATCTCAGTATGACGCATATAAATCGAGCGTTTAATAGCTAGATCACGTAGATCACGTTTTTTTGGCGCAAGGAGAGTAAATCACAATTTAGTTTAGCACATATATCTCAATATGACGCATATAAATCGAGCGTTTAATAGCTAGATCACGTAGATCACGTTTTTTTTTGGCGCAAGGAGAGTAAATTGTAATTTAGTTTAGCACATATATCTCAGTATGACGTATATAAATCGAGCGTTTAATAGCTAGATCACGTAGATCACGTTTTTTTGGCGCAAGGACAGTAAATCACAATTTAGTTTAGCACATATATCTCAATACGACGCGTATAGATAAAGCACTAAACGATTCAAAGTAATAATTAGGATTTTTTTTTCTTTAAATTTAATCAAATTGCAGATGAAATGATTGAATGGACAAATGGAAGCAATGTTCGATGGAAAATTTTAAAATGTTCATCGCTGGATGATTGTTTCTATAAACTCAATAATATCAATGATTTTACCAACAGTAATGTTTGATAACATTCTCTAAAGATTGAAAATTAATTTTAATATACCAAAAAAGATGACTAATGGAATAGTTAAGTTTATCAATTTTTATAGAAGATGAAAAGACAATGAGTAATTTTAAGAAATGTTAAAATGTTAAAAAAAAAAATACTATATATCTGATTATTGTAGGATAAATTTTAAAAAAAAAAAAAAAAACTACCAAATGTTAATTTCAGATTTCTCCATGATATCACTATTATTAACTCATTCATTAATGTTTCTACTTGGTATTATTGTGAGAAAATTACAGCAAATGTTTCAATTCAGTAAAATTTTATGACATTCATTTTAATTTAGCTGAAATTATCTATCATTTATGATTTTTTAAAATGACTAAAAAATTGTAATGCCAAATAACATGTAGAATTATTCTCGAGAATTTATTTAACCAAATAATTTCTTTAAATAATCAATTTAAGATTTGCACATTTTCTTCAGAAAGAACGAATGAAATACAAAAAATGAATGAAAACAATCACGAAATCAATTGGTTTTTTGATATACGCAGCATGCGACGCATCCGGAGTGATTACTAAATTATCAGTTGGAATTTTGAGTAGCTGAATCAGAAACTGATACTCTATTTTGTAGCTAACATAAATTATGAGTGTAAGAATCAGGAATAAATTATGAGTGTAAGCATCAGGAAATGAGTGTAAGCATCAGGAATAAATTATGAGTATAAGCATCAGGAAATGAGTGTAAGCATCAGGAATAAATTATGAGTGTAAGCATCAGGAAAAAAATTATTACTGTCGTCTATCAGTTGCACAACGAAAAATTCATACGAGAGTTAAGAATGAAAAATTCAAGTAATTTAACTTTCTATAAGAATTTATACAAGAAAAAAAAAAACATGAAAATGCAGTGCACCTAAAAAACAATAACAAGGAATTTAAAATAAGGCCTTTAAAATTTAAAGTTTTTAAGAAAATTTAAAATTAAAATTTAAAAATAAGTTCTATAGAATTAACCATATCACATTTTTTTTTTTTGTGATAAAAGAGAAAAAACAATTTTCTTTTTTTTTGATAGAAGAGAAATAATTCTGCTTACAAATCAAACATTTATTCCTCACTTCACAACGATAAAAACAAGGTACGAATAAAATTATTAACCTAAGAGCAGGGATGAGTAAAAAATGCTAATCAATTCAATTTAAAATTACTAGTGAAACACCAAAAATGCTTAAAAATGAAAAATTATTTCAAAAATATATCGAAATCGCAGTAATACCATCAAAAATAATTGATGAGACGTTGTTTCACTTTTGAACAACATAAATGTGAAATTAAATTAAATGAAATACTTTAGACTATAAGAATGTAAAATGAATGCTAAAGACAGAAATTTACATAAGAAAGTTCGTAATATAAAGTTCACATAACTGCTAAGTAAGTCAAATTCATATTGCTTGTTTAAACAAAGGTACTTTAGTTAATAAATGGGAAATGAATCTGAAAATACAATGACAATAAAATTTACGATGAAATTATTTCCTTTATAAAATTAAACATCACATTTAAATTGAAACTAAGTATTATAAAGTATATATTGGTGGAAAATAATCCTTCCTAAAATATATTTATATGCTCACTAGTAAAAGAGTTTGAGTTTTGTTTTGAATATAGTTGTAAATATATTCAAAAAAAAAAAAAATTGAATATATTACGAAAAAATTTTAAATTAGAAATTTAAAAACACATGGCTAATTTTCCTTGATAAGAAATCAAATTTGATTCAAATACATAAACAGTTATATCAAAAGTATTAATTGATCATCTTACATTTTATAATTGAAATTGAAAAACGACAAGACAAAATGAGGACTTCCCATGCCGGGAATCGAACCCGGGCCGCGTGGGTGAAAGCCACGAATCCTAGCCACTAGACCACATGGGAGCTTACAACTTGCTTCGTTTGCTCAAATCTAAAGGTTAATTTAAGTAAGGAAATTTAGACATTTAAATTTCAATAAAATTTTATTATGAATTATTTATCAATAAACAAAAAAGAAAGTCTAAAAATGATAGCTAATAACGATTAGATCAGAAAATAATGGCACAAAATAATTATTTAAAATAATCAAAACAATATTGCAAGAAAAAAAAAAGAAAAAGATGAAAATAGGTCAATAAAGATCAAAATTAATTAATTAATTTAACACAAATTAATTTTTCAACAAAAAAAAAGAGCATAGAGAGAGAAGAGAAGAGAGAAAGAAAGAGAAAAGTGAATGGAAATAATAGCGGCTGCATTAAATAATTGCGATTTAAGAGTGGAATTTTGTCAGTTTGTCGCGATAGTTTGCAAAATTAGTATTTTAATTTCTTTTTATTGCTCTTTTTACATATTTATCTAAATTATATTAATTATTTTATTCAAATATTAGTGGACTTATGTTAATTCTTTTTAAATATTAGTAAATTATATTAATTCTCTTATTTAAATATTAGTAGAGATTAGTAGACGTTGCAAATAATTCATTTCATTCTTTTATTCCAGTTAATAAGTCGAATTCAGCTTGTCTTTTTTTAAAGAGCCTACTTACACGTACGTGTCTTTTACGTTACACGAACTATAATACGTACGTTACATAAACTATAGTTTTGCTTTTTTTTTCATTATATAATTTTTTTATATAGTTTTAATATTACGCTACGTGTGTTACACAAATTATACTTCTATTATTTTACGTATAAATTTACTTATCATATTTATTATTTCTTTCCTTCATTTTTTTTTTCAGCTTTTACAAAATCTTATGCTGTCTTATCCAAGAATTTTTTCGTATATAAGGTGGCGAAATTGAGATAGCATATGATGCTTCGTACAGCATTTTGTAAGTTCATTTTAGCAAGTTTTTTTTTTCCCTTTTTCTAAATGAGACAAACTTTGAAAATTTGTTGTAATATTTATTTTGAATTATAGAATGTTGCCCTTTATTGTATAAAAGTAATACTTTTAATTGGCGAAAACAGAATTTGTTTAGTGATAATATTAAATTTATCACGTGATGTTTAGTTCATTAAAGTATAAAATGGCAAAATAATTATGTGAATTAAAAGAATGATCATAGCTTTTAAAAAGAAGTGAGCAAATAGGTGACAGAAAAAAAAAAACAAACTAGAGGAGTAAATTCTGAAAACTTTTGCATAATACTTTTTAAAAGCTTTATTTCTGTTTATGCAACCGTTCTTTTATGTATTTACATGCTCTAAGCATTTTTAAATGCTATCATTTTCCATATTAATTATTCTTAAACTGATGAAAAATTTTACTTTTTATATCGAATTTATTTCATTTTTATAATTCATTGTTTGTATAAATGTTTACTGCAGTGCTGGAGAAGACTTCACATGCGCTATTCCGTACCTGTGCATTCAGCGGAAAGTTTAATGAATTTAAAGGTAGATTGTTTCGTGCTGCTCAGTCATCACGAAAACGAAATGTTGCAACAAAGGATGTAATTGAAGAGGTCGGTTTTCTTTTTTTTTTACCTTATCTACTTCTAGTGAAAGAGGAAATCAAATTTTAATAACACTAATATATCATCTTTGATTAGGATAAAATAAAATGCTATTAATGATAGAGTACGATATGGATTTAAGTGGAATTATTACTCATCTGATTGGGAATACTGAAAAGATGGAGCAGAGAATTACCGATAACCATTTCTTCGGCAGAAGAAAGATTATTAGTGAAATTGAAATATTTTATAACTAAATTTCTCATTTTAGAATGCATAGGTCGTTGATTTCAGACTCGTGCTATGTTAGAATTTGGCTTGACACGTGAACATCTTCAGAATTTGCCACGCAAAGAGCTTTTTCCCAAGAAAGCAATGTATAATGTGGATGATGTATACCGTAAAGCATTGCAGGTTTATAAGTTTGTCAATCAAAAATTTTTAGTGAAATTTAATATTCTTAGAAAAATTCTTTTTTTCAGGTACATGGTAGTGAAAGAGGTATACAGCAAAGGATGCAATTATATCAGAAGTATTTGTATCACAATCCATTGTTTGACGAAAGAAAACATGATAAAAACCAATCTACTTCGTTTGCTGCAGAGGTGGTTGAATTTTCATTTTAATTTCATTTAAATGTGTAGAAAAACTTCAATTTGACATGTAGTTATTGTTCAGTTCTCCTTTTTATTTTACCAATTAATAAAGACTAATTTGCAATTATCAGTTATTCTGTCTAGGATGCTACAAATGCTGTGAAAATTGCATTGGGCACAAATTTTCTTGATGTTTGCTTCAAATTATGTGGCACATTTATTACTGGTTCGTTCGGAATCTTTCCATCATTTTATGCTCAATATTAAATTGTATAAAAGGAATTGGTGGATTCTTCACTTAAATATTTGTTGTTTGCGTAGGGGTAAAGAAACGGAATGTTCTGTGAGGTTTATTATTTGAAGTCAAGATTTTGAAATTTTTGAATTTTTATCACTTTATTTGCTAAAAGTATAATTATAATTTAGGATCAAAAAGCTTAGCTGCAGAAGGTTTGCATAGCTCGCTGGATTTAACCAACCAAATTATTCTAATGTACGGAATACGATATTCGAAATTAAATCCCACACCAACTTATCCATATGGTTACGGCAATGCACGATACATTGCTTCGTTAATCAGTGGTTGCTGGCTTTTTGGATTTGGTGGTGGTGTTTCGCTGTATCATGGTATTACAGGTTTTCTTCATCCTCATGCAATCGAATCACCTGCATGGGCAAGTTTACAAAAAAAAAATTGGACTTCTGGTTAAGACTTCTCAAACATTTCAGACTTTTTCATGTTGGAAAAATATTGAACAAAAAACAATATAACTTTTTCTAAAGCTAATGGAGTAAGCTTAGTATTATGCATAAATTTGATAGTAATTTGGAATAAGCAAACATGCAGGAATTCATTAAATAAAATTTTTGTGGAAGTATAATTTTTGTAGTGAATTAGAGTTAAGGCATTTTCTCGAAAGATCTGTTATTTTGTTGAAGACTTTGAAGTGTAATTTTCATCTATTTCTCTTCTTTTATTTTTACGAATTTTTAAAAAGCACTGATTGTAGATTTCAGGCATTTATCACTTTGACAATGTCTTTCCTACTACAAGGATCGTCAGCGTCATATGCATGGTGGAAAGTACGACGGAAAGCAAAACAGTGTCACATGTCCCTCACTGAATATGGTCATTTAAAGTCTATTTTTTTTTTAAATATTGAAATTTTTTAATTAAAATTTTTTTTTTTTTGATGTGCAGCATAGGCTAAAATTACTGTCGAAGTTATAACATAACCGTGATTATATTCTAATCCAGATTATAGAATCGGCGGAACAGTTCAATTTTTTCTTCTTTTTTTAGAGCAATATTTTTCGATTCTTTAGCTTCAATTTTTTTTTTAAAGGTTTATTTCTATTAAGCAGATGCATCATTTTAGATATTACCATATAACAGTATGAAAGATTCATGTAATATGTTTAGTTTGAATTATCAAATGTGATGGTTTATTTGTGAAAATTGTATTTTCAGTGAGAACAAGTGCTGATCCAAGTTTAAGTGTTGTGTGCTTGGAGGATTCAGCATCAATTCTTGGAACATTTATTTCTGCTTCATCAATCGCATTGAGTTGTGTGCTGGAAACAAGTATTCCAGATTCTGTTGGTTCAGTTTTGATTGGTATTTTGTTAGGTAGTATTGCTGCATTCATTATTCGCAATAATGCTATGCATTTGGCAGGAAAATCAGTTCCACAAGTAGTAATCAACGATATTGTGGCACACTTAAGACATGACAATATCATTAAGTTAGTTTTTTCTCTTTTTTTGACATTTCTTATACAATATGAAATGAAAATTATCACAAAATTATTTACAACTTGCAAGTTTTAAGTTTAATTTAAGTTTAAATTTAGTAATAATTGAGCAAAAAAAAAAAAAAACGGATAATGAAGTAGAAGAAAGAGAAAAAAAGGTTATTAATATCATTGATTAATTCTAATCACCTATAGGTAGGAAAAGAGGAGTTTTTTTTTCTTCCATTATTACCAAATTTTCTTTTTTTGTCGTAATGATTACAATTAATAATTATAATGTTCCTTAAAAATGAGTGAATGAAAGTTTTACTATATAATTTGTAATGTAATAGCAATAATAGACTCCAGAAGTCATGTTTGTTTATCTATAGGTAATTAGAATTAACTAATAATATTGATAACCTTTTTTTTTTTTCCTACTTCGTTATCTGTTTTTTGTTCTATTATTGCTAAATTTAAATGCCATATTTTTGGTTTATCGGTTTAAAAAAAAAAAAAACATATTATATACTCTTAATATAGATCAGTACATGATGTGAAAGCAGTTGGACATGGAGTTGGACAAGTTCGTTTTAAAGCAGAAGTTGGTTATGATGGACGAGCAATTACCAATTTGTATCTTTCCGATTCATGTCACATTCCATCTCTTATTGAAGTTAGTTAATTTTATTTTCATTCTAGTTAATTTTTATATTTGAGAAAGTCTTCAAGTTTTTAAATCTCTCAGATGAACACATATTTATGAAGTGGAAATTTTTTTCAGTTATTTGTACACTCTTTTTTTTATTAGAAATTCATCTTTTTTATGGCTTAGAAAAATTTATGTTGTTTCTCTTCGACATTTTCTGCAAATATCAATTTTATCTTATATCTCTTGGGAAAAGTTATTTTTTTCTTTTTTTTTTCTGAGAAGTGTTCGGCATATGAAAAGTAAGAAAAAGATTAGAATTTCTTCTGGAAAGATATTTAACACTCTAGAGACAGGAAAACTCAGGAAAAAAAAAATCTCTAAAAGAAAACTGTGATTTAAAAGGATATGTTTAAATATTCTTTAAAGTAGAATATTTTCAAAGTGATTTTCTGTTGCCCCTTTTCTATTCACAGCTCAATTTTTAAATGGTCTTTAACTTCCCTTGAATTTTTACACCTTTTGATATAATCTTTTTCAAGTATTCCAAAATCTGAATCTTCTGATTTCAAAATTCGAAATTTAATTTTAACAAAGGATCGCAAGATGAGATTTTATTGAGCATAGTTGAATGCACTATGTTAGTATGAGTCCACAAGCAAACAACATTATAAAATTGTCTTAAATTGCATTAGTTTGTGTTTCAAACTATGCACTAACATCAATTGATAAACAAATGAAAAAACTTGGATTTATAGATACGACTTCACTTTTTTTTTCCTTTTTTAGTTATTAACAGACTTGCTAAAGTAGTTTCTCTTCAAAGGACTTTTTCCATTAATTTTTTTAACGGTTCTTTTCTAAGCAAATTTTGAGATGCCGCTGTAATTTTGGTTTAAAAGCTATATAAGCACAAAAATATATTGTTTTTTCTTTTTTTTTTTTTCATCAAAATTGAAAACTAGTTTACAAATGTACTTTCTTAAGTCTTTTTTTTCTTCTCTTTCTTTTCTAATTCTATGTAAAAGAAAAAATGAAAAATCTTAAACTGAAAAAAAAAAAAAGGATACATTGTATTGAAATTTACTGATTTTTTCTCCGAAACACATTTTCGGAAGATTTTATCGAAATTTATTGAAACATTGATTATTTGTTTAATCAGATGTTGCTTACGAGGCAATATTTACTGATATATTCGCTGTTGAAGATAGTTTTAATTGATAAGCTTTGTGAGTATTATGAGAAATAATATAGTTAATTTTATTTTATGCTAGTAACTCTTTACTTCCATTTTTTTTTTTTTTGTCATTTTTATAATTTTTGTTGTCTTCTCCTAATTTCTTTCAATCAATTTCACCTTTTTCTTCTCAAAGAAAAAAAAAGGCACTGGAAAATATGAAAAATTAGCAAACATAATTGTATTTCCAGTGCATTAAGTTTAGATATTTTAAATTATTTTTAATACAGTGAGTGGCTATTGTGATTGATTGTTACACAGACATATAAAGTATTAATGAATGATGCCGAAACAAACAAGAAATTGAGTAATTTTTGTTATTGTTAAATTTTTATTTCAAAGAATTATTATTTCGGTAATTACCTTCTCAATAATTCATTCTATTTTCATTATTGTTTGAATTCTACCTTATACTATCTTGCATTTTTACTGGAAATTATAGTAATATATTCGTTTGATAAGGAAATATTTTAACTTTGAATTATTTATTTTTTTCAAAATCTTCTTGAAATTGTTAAAAATTTTATTCTGAACATTACAATTTTACCACCTTATAATGCTTTTTTATAAATATATAAATAAACATTATAGTTTTACTCTCTAATTTTCTATTTTACAATTCATTGAATATTTATCATACAATGTGAAGTAAACAAATATAATGAACAATTATCAAATTAATGAATATGAATTGATTTGATAAATTTGATTCAGGAAGCAAAGAAAATTAAAGATGAGGAAGGATTACGACGCTTTATGTTACATCATGGTGAGCATATTGTTAATCGTATAGCTGATGAAGTGGATCGTATTGAAGAGATGATCAGGAAGAAGCATCCGGATGTTAAACATGTTGATTTGGAACCATTATAAATTATTATTATTATTATAATTATAAAATGTTATTTAACTTTTTAAATCTTTAATCGTATGAATAGAAATTTCGTAGCACTTTGACAATTGTGAGATTTTATCTTGTAAAAAATTCTTTTTTCTTTCTTTATTTTTATTTTTTTAGGTAACACTGTAAAATTTTTTTTATTTACATTTGTTGAGATATGAACAATATCAGTTTAAATCTTCATCTTCGACTATAACAACAACAAAAAAAAAAAAAAAAAAAAAAAAACGAAGAGTCAAATAAATGAATATGATATTATATTTATTAAAAAATCATGTTCATGATTTATAGGAATAATCTAAATTTGGTAAATTTAATAAAGTTGCAACTTGTTTTTTTTCTTTTTTTTTTTTCGTATTTTTTTCGAAAATTATTGTACGTATTTTGTGGTTTTATCTTTTCTGATCTATATTTTGTATTCACTTATCTGTGATTGTTTTGAATTCGTTTTGATTTATGTTATTCTTGCAGTTTATCAGTTAGCTATCATCCCATATGTTATTGGTTTCATTTTCATCAGTGTATCATTTCAAATGTATCATTTTAAGATCACATAAACAAATGCTTTTAAGAATGAAAAATTGTACAGATTGTTATTCAAAAAAGAATCATTATTTAACTTGAAATTATTGATAATAAGTGAAAGAGAATGATAGAATGATAGCTTTTTTTTTTTTCAAAGATAAACATAAAATATACCATAAATAAACATAAAATATACCATAAATAAACTTTAAAAAATATGCTAGCAGCAATTTTAATATTAAAACTAAAAGTTATTTTAGCAAAAAAAAAACATCATTATCAATTCATAATCGTTATATTCACAAAATATTCTCTGATGCATTGCATATATATTTTCCTCTTGATAAGCAGTTATGACATTTTATCAATCATTTTCAAATGATAATTTTTCTTTTCTTTTTCAATTTCAATCATTGACAAATCTTTTAACACAAAAAGTCCCTGCAGGAATATAATTTTTACAAAACTTTATGGGAAATAAAAAATCTTTATAGGATTGTTACAGGAGTTTAATACTTAAATTTGTTGATAAGAGTAAAATATAAATTTATGATTTCTCTTTATATTTATCATAATTTTAATATTACTTTTAATTATTTCTATCATTTAGATTATTTATATTATTTTTTTAAAAGCATTTGAAAGTTTACAATTTTACTAAATGATCATTGAATTTATGTGAATGAACAAAAAAAAAAAAAAGAAAACTTTCAATGTAATTTTAAAAACGTTGATAATCAATCAAACATACTGAGAGGAAGAAATTGAAAATGATGGATTTGGTATGTTTGATTATTTTGAAGTTTTTCGTAATTCAAAAAATGTTTATTTGTTATCATTGATAACTAGGTGAAAACGATGTAACTTGTTTATTAATTACATTTAACAGCAAATAATTCATCATTCTATCTGTAATCAAATGATTAATTATATCAAATTTTTTATGTTAATTATATCAGCGTAAAACACATAATTTATTTATTTGTTATAAACAAAAATTTAATTCAATGTAAATATAAACAAAGGAATTCAATTAAGTATTATTGGAGTTTGCCATATATTAAGTCTAACAATTAATTAACAAAGTAAACAGAAAATAGATGTCATCAAAAAAAAAAAAAATGATTTAGATCAAATAAAATTTTCCAATTAATCAATGGTAATTTCTTTTTTTCTCGTTGATCTTTGAATATTTGACTTTTTTGAAATTAATTGATCTAATTGCTACTATAATTAGTAATAATAATTATTATTATTAGCATTGGTAATTATATTATATTAACTAGAAGTTTTAGCGTGAAATACGTGTACAAGTCATAAAAATATTTATTTACTATTTGTTATGAAGTAATTTTATTTCATTCTATTAATTAGCTAATTAAATAAAAGGATCAAAGAAAGGATGAAAAATGTATAAAATTGTGAAAAACCAAAAAAAAAAAAAATTTTTTTACAAATCTTTCTGACAAATACACCTAAATGATATAAATTAATTAGTAAAGCAAACAAATTACTTTCTCACCTGTTTCTTTTGTTTATTCTCCAATAATACAAATAATTTCATATGAATAATTAGTAATAAATACAAAAGTAATTAATTAATTGATAAACTGATCCAATCTATGCTAACTTCTTGAGCAAATTATAATGCAAAATTATACAATTTTATTAGAATATTTGGAAGAATATAATAATTGGATGTATCATTGAAGCAAATTATATAATTCCATTAATCAAATATTATATCAAAATCTTATTCATAATCATACACTTTGCTGATAATATCAATAATTAGTGATAATCATTAAAAATATATGATGCTAATTGGTAAATCTAAATTTTAGTTTTATCAATGAATTAAAAAAAAAAAGAGGAAGAATGAAAGAAAAAAAAAAACGAAACTTGAAAATTGAATTAAATTGTTTCCAATCCAGCAGCAACAAACTTTTTAGTTGTCATCGACTTAATTCAATTCTGCTCGAACATATAAAACAAAAATCTTTTTTCTGCTTGCAATTTATCATTTCAATTGCTTAAAAAAAATAATAGTAATAATAATAATAATAAATACATTATTAGCTAATAATAATATGTCCATTATCAACAATTTCAGTAGTAATTGTTGTATCAGTGATAAGATGATGATTAATCAAATGATTATTATTCATTTTTTGTTGCTTTCCACGATATTTTTGATATTGATAACGCCAAATTGTGATCCTTCGTAGAAGCCATGTCATAAATGTTTTAAATGCAATTAGAATAAAGAATAAAGCTAGAATAATTGCTGTTCCAATACCAATCCATGGATCATAATAACGATAGAAATCATCAGTTGTACGTGGTGGATTTGAATCCATGAAATCACGTTTATCTGGTATTTTACATGTTGGAAAACAAGAATTATATTGTTGCTTTTGTTGTTGTTGTTGTTGTTGTCGTTGTTGACGTTGCTGTTGTTGTTGTTGTTGTTGTTGTTGTTTTAGTAATTGAACAACTTCTGTTGAACGCATATGTTTGTAAATAAAACCTTAAATGTTAAATTTTAAACTAAAAATTTTTAACCAGAATATATGTTAAGTATTATTATTTCTCAAGGGGAATAAAAGAAGCCATAGATAGGCTTTTATAGTCGATTTAAACAAGTTAAGAAAAAGTTAAATATAATAATGGAAGATAAAAAAAAAAAAAAGAGGAGAAATAAGTAAGTGAAATAAAGTAGTAAAGATGAAAGAAAGAATGAATGAAAGAAGAGATTTAAAAGTATAAAAATTTTTGTCTAAGCAAAAGAATTGAGCAATTAAAGAGGAATGAGAAGAAGAAGAAGAAGGAGAAGGAGAAGTGAAGAAAAGAAGAATGCGCTGAATTTCCTCCCGAAATTATGTCCTGAAGTAGATGAAAATAGCAAGAATGAAGTTAGAAGAACTGCTGCTGCTGCTACTACCAATGCTACCGCTGCTACCAATGCTACCACTGCTACCACTACTACCGCTACTACCACTACTATCACTGCTACTACTACTAGCTTACTAAGTTTTCATTAATTTTGGAATATTAGTTGAAGTTTGATCGTATTTGCTTGATTTGATTGCTTTTGCTTGTTTATTTTGTCTTATATAAGTGGCACTTATTTATTTATTGCTTTAGCAGTAGTTAATAATGATGATAATAGTGATGACGATGATTATAATGATAATAACAACGATGATTATAATGATAATAACAACGATGATTATAGTGATAATAACAACAATAACAACAACAATAATAATAATAATAAATGACAATTATTTCCATTCGTTTAACAATAAACAAAATAATACTAATACAATTGGATTAAATTAGATTAAATCAAATTAGATTAGATATAAATCAAATTAAATTACACAAAATTTGATTTGATTTTTTTTTTTTTGAATGATGATAAAAAAAAATGAAACAAATTGAAATATGCAACTGTAATTTGAGGTAAAATTATATACAATAATACATATTTTAATCTTTTTAAATTTTTTGAATAAAGAAAGAAAAAACAATATAATTTTCCTCAAATTAAAATTGTATATTTGATAAATAAAAAAAAAAATTCGTTTTCCGTTTTTTTTTTCTTTTCCTTTTTACTTTCATTTCTTTGCTTTACTATTACTTAATTAAGTTATATTCAATTTGTCGGACATTTTTCACTACTACTTTCAGTTCATTTAATTTCATTTCATTTTACTTTTTCCTTTTTTTCACTTTTTTAAACTAAAAAAAAAAAGAAAGAGAAAGAAAGAAATGTAATTTAGTATAATTCAAAATGTGTAGCATCCGAGAATGTTAGAAATAATTTGAAATATCATTCATCTAACAAACATATTAATTAATAATTTACAAAAAAAGGAAATTAGTATTAGTAAAATAAAAAAAGTTTGCTATTGATGAATTTTCAAACAAAAATTATTGATGAAAGTGAAGATAGATAATAGTATTTTTAAAAATTAAACCAGAAAAATTGTTTATTTAAAAAATTTTAAATTTACATATTTGTCATCTTTAAATAAATGAATATATTTGAGTGAATAAATATTATTCATATAGTATTCTTTTAGATTGCTTATAAAAAAATCTTTTTTTGGTCCTTTTACTTTATTGAAATAAATTTTTTGAAGTTTAAAAAAAAAAAAAATATTTTCGAATTCATTTATCCTAAATCATAAATTTTTCATATTTTAGAATGAAAATTTTCTGTTAAGTATCTCGCAAGTGAGTAATAATTCTTGGTTAAACAAACAATAGTAAAGTATTATTATCCATCATTTCAAAAATTTTAAAAAATGATTTTTTGAAAAATTGCATAAGTTATAAGCAATAAATATAAAAATTAAATATGTAACAAATAGTATATTTTATTTTAAATAATTCTAACATAAATCAGTTTTAAAAAAAAAAAATGTATGTATGTAAATTATTATGAATAAATTATTGACAAATGAAAAATTAATTTTTCAAAACATATAAAATTTCATTTGTCTTCTAAACAATAACTGATAACTATTGATTATCATTTGGTATTCAAATGTTTATTTATCATTTAAAATTTTTATTTTCTCATTAACTATAAAATAAATTTGATTTAATTTAATAATTTCTTTAAAAAAAAAAATTGAAAAAATATCTAAATTTTATTGTATTTGCATATTATTTTAAAATAATAATTTTAAACATTTCAAAAAATCCAAATGAAATTGTTTTTCTTCCAAATAATTTATTAAAATTTGCTTTAAAATTTAATTTTTTTTTCCTAAAAAAAAAAATTTTTTTCTTTTCATCGTTTTCGTGTATTATTATTTAATATATTATAACTTTACTTTTTAAATTATTTCATACTTTTTTTTTTCAATTATATTTATTCATTCATTTTTCTAATTTCTTAATAACATATGCGTGTGATATATTTTGCGTTTTTTTTTCATTCAATAATTTTAATGAATGAATAAAATTGAAAATGCAAAAAAAAAAAAAAATTGAAAAAACAAAAAAAACAAAAAAAAAAAAAAAAACGAATCTGCAAAAATTTCAATAAAAAAAAATAAAGCATTGCACAGTATTTGATTGGCAAATTGAAGAAGAAGAAGAAGCAAAAGAGAAAAGTGAATTATTAAAAAGATAAAAGTTTAAAAAAGAAAACAAAAAAACAAAAATTCAAAAAAAGAATTAAATTTTTCTCAATTAATTAATTACCAATATTAAATGTTACATAGTAATAATTTACTGAACTAAGCAATAATAAATTTAATTTTAGAATAAAATAATAATTGTTTAGTGTATTTTTTACAATAAACAAAATAAAATATTTTAATTATTTACCGCAAAAAATACAATCTTTTAAATTCTTTTAAATTTAAATATATCTCTTTTAAAAATTCTTTCGCATGCACATACACATATATATAAAATATAAAAAAGTATTAATATTTTTCCACATCGAATAATTGTAGCGAATAATTTTTAGATTATCAAAATTGAATTTTATGAAAAAAAAAAAAAAAAAAAATTAAATCAGTGTTGATTAGACAAAAACTATTGCTATTGGCTAGAAAAGCTAACAAAATATTCTAAAAGTGCATTAATGAATATTTATATTTTAATTTTATTCAATTTTATTACTGTAAAAAGAAAAAAGCAAAACAGAAAAATAATCAAAAATTTACTAAATATTATACAAAAGTAAATAAAATATTTGCAAACAAAATAAATTAGTAAAAAAAAAAGAAAATCATTCAAAATTTTAAAAAAAAAAATTATTTCAATTTAAAAGAAATTTTTAAAACGATCATTGATTTTACTTTGAAATTATTCATTGTAGCAAATAAAAAAAAATGCTATTTTTGATTTAAGAAAATTTTCAAATAATTTGGTTAATTTTTTCATCTTGTTTTTTCGCAATTTTTAAGTGGAAAAAATAAACATTAAAAAATAATAATAATAAAACAATCATAAAAATTGGTTTAAAAATGCGCTAATGTCACAGTTTATTATCAGTAATTGTTGTATTCAATTTATTTCATTTTATCTATGAGATAAATTTTAAAAAATTAGATAATATATTGTAAAGAGAAAAGGAAGCTTTATGATAATTGAATTTTTGCAAAGAAGAAAAGAAAAAAAAGGATGAATTGAAAAGATTGAAATGTCTTTGTTTTTAAAAATGCATTGATAATGTGCGCATTTGTCGTTTGCTCAATTTATTTTAATATCGTATGATAAGAGATTATTTTAAATGCTTTTGAATTAAATTTGATTAAAATGAGCACTCAAATTCCTAATAAATAGAATTTAAGTGATAAAATATGATATGATAAGTAGCTTAATAAGTTAGCATTAATACTTTTTATACTTATTTTTAAACTCTTTTTTTAAAAAAAAAAAGTTTTTAATTACAAGTAAAACATTTTATTTCTGAAATAATAATTTAATCTAAAAATTGCTAAATATAATTTAATAATTCATTTCAGTTTTGGCTATATTTAATATAATTTATACAAGTTGCGATTTTAATTTTATTTTTTTTTCTCGTTTTTTCTTCCTTTTATTTTGCATTTATTGAAATAAATGCAAAAATTATCGAAAAATTCCGGATTCCAATATTTATTCCGGCAATAAGAAGAAATAATAATAATAAATCATTGTGATCCGGTTAATAAGTTAATTCATATGTACCATAATGGAATGAATTTCCTGATAGCAATGTAAACGGATAACAGATATGCATTTTTTTTTAGCTAAATTTCCGGAATGTTATAAGTATAATAAATTACTGAACTGCTGCATATACATAATTCCTGTTAATTAAGCAACCGGTTAATCTTACTGATAAGAAATTAAATTCGGGATTTTTTCTCTCTCTCTCTCCCTCTCTCTTTCTTCTTTTCTTTGAAAGAATGATTTGATTAAGTGTAAAATAGAGTAAAATAAAGTAAAATAAATTAAGGCAAAAGTTGTTTTCACTTATTCCATCCAAAATTTATTTTTATTTTTTATATTTTTATTTTTTATTTTTTAATTTTAAAAAATTTTCTTTTCATTTCCATCGAATTGTCAATAATAATTGTATTTTCAATGCTAATAAATTTCTGCTATTTATCATTTCTACTACTTAAATCAATTTTATCATTTATAATTAATAAACAAAATTTTATTGTCTGTCAAAAATATTTCTTTTTTTTTATAAACAAAAAAAAAAACGATTTATAAAATTTTATTTAGAAAAGAAGTGTAACTGATTTTTGCTGTGACAGTTTAAACAGCGAAAAAAGAGCTTATTAAAAGTGAAATAAGAATTGCTGTTCTTGAATAAATGATTTGATTGAATGTAAATAGAGTAATGTAAAGTAAAGTAAAGTAAATAAAGTAAAGTAAAGTAAAGTAAAGTGAAATAAAGAAAAGAGTAAAATGAGTGCAAATTCAGTAAATAAATAAATAAATGAAATTTAAGAGTAACACAAAAGAATTTTGGAAATGAACAATTATT